ATTCACACCACCTGCCCTCCTTCCCCACTGCTGTCAGCCTTTCTCATCTACTTTTTTGCTGGGAGATTGCAGCAGTCAGAAGGAACTGGTGGGATACTGGAGCCCTACCCTCTGAGCATGCATGGTGGAGTTCTGTGCATGCTTGGGGGAGGGGATTCAAATCCCTCATTGAGCTTGATAGAAGTTTCCCGGATTGGAGTTGGTGCAGGCACCACCCACAGATGTGAATGCGTAGATGACCACTCAAAGATTATCAGTTACAGGTAAGCAACCTGTTTTTCCAGTTCCTGTCATGTTTGGCATTGTGACTCTTAAGTCACCCTGAAGCTAGCAGCCAATTTTGAGGTGCTTAGCCTTGTTTTCTAATGAGTCATGCAGTTGCAGACAAACAGATGGACAAATGGATGCCTCCTTTTAGTGGCAATTCCAATGCCTGTCTGGTGGAACAAATGGAAATAAGGAAATCTGTCTTAAATGATAATAGCTTGAGGTTGCCATAGGTTCAAACGGTTTCCCCATAAATTGACTGAGGACAAGCTGAAAATCCCATGAGGAGTGGGAGGAAGTGTCTGAGGATAAAATCTAAAGAGGCCTCAGAAAAATTGTTTTACCAAATGGTGAAAGAAAAGCCGAAATAGCTACTAGGTGAACCTTAAGTAATTCCAGAACCACTTGAAGAACAACAGTTACAGGCAAAGCAACTTGTTTTCCTCCAGATTTCTGACACATACTGGCAGTACAAACATGCAAATACAGTTTGGACTTGGTAAGCATTGATGGTGTTTGTTCCTGGATACCACCACAAATGTTAACCATCTGGAATCTGAGACTGCTTAAAACACAAAGGCGACATTCTTATGGCTGCTGTAATGGGTAAGATTCCATACCTTTATTTTTGCCAGAAAAGCCCCTGTGTGAGGAGTCCCATGATTCATAGTTTCCCCAAGAGCACCACTATCCCCCAGGGTTACAAAATTAAATTAATGTGCCTCTAATACCTGATACTGTTCTTTTTACATAGTGAAGATAATCTGTGCAGCCACTGTCTAAAATACCTGTTAAAATTAATCTAAATAAACATGATAGATGTTCAGAGAGGACTGGGCTGCGGTGTTGCAAATGGACTGGGAGTAGGAATTTTACTTGAAACAGAGAACAAAGATTTATAGATATAAACCAAATGAGTGGAAGAAATCCAGGTGACTGGGCAAGGTACACCACAATTCAAAATTTTGGGGCCTGATTCTGGATCTTTCCAGGTTGGGTCATGATGGAGCATGGGCAAAGGTTATAACAGAAAGGAGACTCCAATTTGGACCTCAGTTAACATAGAGACACCTTTTCCACAGTGTTTTTGTTCCATATTTCAATAATAATTCCTCTGAATGGTCACTGGATTCTGAATGTTCAGACTTGGAAGTGTTGCTTTAAGAAATAAGGACATGAAGTCAACTCTGGTCTGCTAGTAGAGGTCAGTCCTTTTCTGATTTTTCTGATGTTTCCTGAGGAGCTCTAGGTTGAGAGAGGACTCCGCTGTGGTTCTGCTGTAATCAAGGCTAAGCCTGATTCATGCTTTGGAGCTGTTGGAGGGAGGGAGGTAATCAGGTGCTTAATACTCAAAGAACAAGTTCAGTTTGCCAAATCAACCCATACACCCTAATTAATAGAGTAGTTAGTAAGGTCTTAATTGGCTAATGCTGGCCGTTGATGTGATTGATGAAATAAAGGCATAAATTTTAGATTCTAATTTTACAGATACACACCTGAACAACACCTCAACAGCATACGTAAGGTTGCTACAGCACATTGTCTCCAGATTTTGATGCAATAATTCAGAGCAAGAGGTGTCAGTTATCAGAGACTGTTAAATAAACAAAATATTGCAAGAGTGCTAATGTTTTAAGCATGTTTTATTTTAAGTTAAAATATTTAATTGTATTGTATGTGTCCTTTATAAAGTGTACTAGGAATAAGGCTCGTTGCGGAAATAAATACAACGAGCTCTAGAAAAAGGCTCTGGGATAGTGCCAAGGCCTTGGACACTCAGTGTCAATTTGCTGTGGTGACCTCAGCAGGGTATAATGACATAGAGTCCACCATTTTCTCCAGAGGAACTGATCTCTGCTACCTGAAGAGCAGTTGTAATTTTGACTGGTCTCCAGGTCTCACCTGGAGATTGGCAACAATTGTTACCCAGGAGGAAATGGCTGGTTTGGAGGGTGGAGTCTATGGCATTGTACCTGTCTGAGGTCCAACCCCTCCTCAAACCCCACCCTCTCCAGGCTCCACCCCTCAAATCCCCAGGAATTTCCCAACCTGGAGTTGGGAACTCCATCTCCTTCCCAGCTAACCATCAACCTACCATTATCTGCCCCTCTGACTGCAGCTGACTTCTATCCTCCCTCCTGGAGATCAGTTGAAATTCTGAGTGATCTCCACCCCTCACCTGAAGATGGGCAACAATGGTTCCCCAGGAGGAAATAGCTGGTTGGGAGGGTGGGGTCGATGGCATTGTACCTGTCTGAGATCCGACCCCTCCTCAAACCTCACCCTCTCCAGGCTCCACCCCTCAAATTTCCAGGAATCTCCCAATCTGGAGTTGGCAACTCTATCTCCTTCCCAGCCAAGCATCAACCTGCCATTATCTGCCCCTGATTTCAGCTTTCCATCTCCTCCTCCCTCCCTCCTGGAGATCAGTTGTAATTCTGAGGGATCTCCAACCCCCACTTGGAGATTTGCAACAATGGTTCCCCAGGAGAGAATGGCTGGTTGGGAGGGTGGAGTCTATGGCATTGTGCCTGTCTGAGGTCCCACCCCCTCCTCAAACCTCACTTTCTCCAGGCTCCATCCCTCAAATCTCCAGGAATTTCCCACCTGGAGTTGGCAACCCTATCTCTTTTCCAGCCAAGTATCAACCTATCTTTATTTCCCTCTCTTCAGCTTTCCATTTCCCCTACACACACACACATTGACTGACACCACTCACTGAATTGTCATTGCCTTTTTAGCGGGACAGTGAGACCCCTCTTTGGAGATGGAATCCTCAATCTTTGGGGGATCCCTGGAAAGTTGGCAACCCAAGGGTCTGGCCTTTCCTTGCTTCCCCGGGCTACCCCCTTCCTTTGGTATTGTGCAGAGCGGGGGAGACTATGTGGTCAGAGCACAACACAGATTATTAGCCCAAATTAAAGAATTTATTTAACTATTTACACAGTTATGGAGCACACACACACTGTAGGAGTAAGCAGACACCATGAACCAACAGAGCATAAATCAACAGGGGTTAAACACAATCCTCTTTCTCTATACAGAACACTCTCTACCTCTGGAGGTTGTGGGCTCACTTGTACTTCAGCCTCTCTCTCTTGCCCAAGAGAGCAGGGAAACTTCCATTCATTCCCCAGTCCAGCCGACTGTGGAGTGGCTGAATTACTGCTGCTCCCAGGGACGAAGACTGCCTTGGGGCAGTCCCTGTTTTCCCGCTCTTTTTGGCCTTGGGGTAGCTGTAGGCCAGCAGATGAGGAAGCCCCATTCAATGCAGTGAGTGATGCCCCTGCAGGCCCCTCTCTGGAACTACAGCTCAATTAAGCCTTATGGGGGAACATTTTAAACACAGAGACGGCAGCCATCTCACAGACACAGGTAACTGCCATTTCATTACACCTACCAACAGCTACTGAGGGGAAAATTAGTCCCACACAGGAGGCAACTGTCTTCATCAAGAGAGAAAGCCGTTTACCAGAAATTCTGACAGGACACAGTGTCTGAAGGAGTGGGCGGGAAAGAGGAGCAAGCCCAGCACCTGGCCAATGTCACGTGAGTACTCTTGAGTGGCAGTTGGGCAGGACTCAGGCAACGCAGCTAGTGGCTAGGGACACCCTCTGAGTGGCAGATCAGGGAGCCAAAGGCTGTGGAAGCATGTGGAATGTTGAGGCAAGAGGGACATGAAAACTTTTATATATAAGGAGAGATACCTCCACTACCTGGCATTACATTTGATGACATACATGGCCTGGCCTGACAAGGGCTCATTTATGTCAGATCCAGCCCTCATAATAAATGAGTTCGACACCCGTGGACTAGAGTTTCTGAGCTGATGTCAAGGTTAAACCCATGTAGACTGCATTACAACAGTTTAACCTTGTGGATCTATTTTTATGGACTAAATGAAGATGGAAGAAAGCCTTTTTTGCAGGCGCATTAACGTGCTTCAGCAATAGTGCTGTGCTGAGTATAACCTCTAGGTTCTTAACTGAGTCAGTATAGAAATCACGCAGGGATATAATTCCATGGATTGCCACAATACATTGTTCATAGTGTTTAGTGTCAGGTTAAGATTTGGGAGACCCAGAACTGAAGGCCTAAATTCGGAAGCCTGATGGGTGACCACATGGGACAGTCACTCTCAACCTAACCTACCTCATAGGGTTGTTGTGAGGAAAGAATGGATGAGGGGAAAGCTGCACTGGGTTCCAATGGGGGAGAAAAGGGGGGTATAATAAATAAAGTGAAGGTGGAAGTAAAATATCTTTCCAATGTACCTGGTTTCATATGCAGAAGAATTGGGCCCCTGTTGTCCTCATAAATATATGTGATTAATTAAAGCTCTTCTGGAATAAAAAAAATCTTACTATATTGTAATACAATTTTATTTATTTATGTATACACACACACTTACTGACCAATCTACAGCAGAGCCTGGAATAAAAATAGTTCCATAAACATATGAACATGTTGCATTCCACAGATAAAAACTATTAAAAGAAACTGTGTTTTTAAAATTCAGTAATGTGCTACATATCCTTTTGACAGCATAATATGATAAAAATCATGTAAACAAACACAGCATTGTGAACTGTGAAAGTGTGAGGGTGTGAACAGCCTCTAATAAAGTCTGCGGGATTGTGAGCCAGTTGCTGCCTGTCTCTCATCAGATCTCCATAAAGAGAATGTGCAGTCATGTGACCATGACTCCTTCCTCCTTATGACATCATTGCCTTTGCAGCCATACCAGCGAAGAAAGGCTGCTGTCAGGACCTTTGAGGCTGAATTAAATGATGTTACACTGCAGGTAAGAGGAAATCACGCTCTGTAGCATGAGTTGCTAGGCTTTTGCCTGTGCGTTTGTTTTGAAATTGACCTCTGCTGAGCAGATTTTCTCCCTGGAAATTGAGCAGCATAGGATGTGTGTGAGTTAGAGGCTTGCAGATGCAGAGGCTGTTTGCTGGCTTTCCAGATCTTCTGGCTGGCACATATAAAAACAATGCTGCCAGAAAAGGAAGGCAGTGCATTGTCAGTGGGCTGTGATCAGACGTTTCTAGCAAGCAGCCAGCGGAATTTCCAGGCATGTTTGCCCAGGGGGGTAATGATCGTATTACCAGGCTGATATGTAATCTTTTTAAATGAGTCTGGCCGTTGCAATATTACAGCGTTAGGCATTAGAGAGAATCTTTTCCCTGCTCTAAAATGTTCTCCGGGAAAACTAGGCTAACAAATTTTGTGCATAATTAATTGGTGGTATAGATGTTTTGGGCAATTTTGAATCTAATGGCTTGTTTCTCATATTGACCGTGGAAGTCAAAATTCTTTTAAATTCAGTTGTATTTTGATTTGCATAACTAGTTTATGAGAGGGTTTTTAGCTGTTTAATATGCTCAACGTTAAGGTGGTGCATACAGCGGATCGTTAGAAGGAGTCTGAATACAAAAGAGCATTATTTGTTTATAAGACTGCAATACTAGAACAGTATTCCATTTCCACTGGTTTTTAAAGGCCCTGGTAAAACCTACCTGCCTGTGGAAGAAGAATGACTCAGCTGCATAATGCACAAGGCTCTCTAATTCTGCATGTACTTTTGTCACTGAAGACACTGAAATACTGTTATGAAAGTGAGTCATGGGAACTTACATCTGTCTTTTCCTGAAAACCTGTCTTGTTGACAGAAATCACTGCTGTCTGTGTCACACTAAGAATAACCCCAGTATAAGGAGAGGAAACAGATAACCCACTGATCCTCCTCATGGCTGAAATTTGCTCCAGTATGGGCTTTTGGCAAGACAGCTGCAGCAAATCCTTCTGATTGTCCACTCTTGTATGCCTTTTGGATGCTATCTCAGCATGCATTTCCAGAGAGATAGGAAGTATACTCAAGTGGGCCATACCTGTTCTGGACCAGATTACTCTAGAACTGATTTTAACCATGTCTTAATTCAGACTCAGCGTCCAGTTCTGCTTGACACGTAGTGACTGTTCTGTCCCAAATTTACTGGTAAAGAAATACTTTCTTATTCACACAAAAAGGCAGCACTTGTATTCACATGACAATGACAATCGGTTAGAAGAATGGCTGCCACTATGTCACGGTAATTGTTTGCATGTGGAAAGTTCATTAGTGACCTTAAATTATACCATATTTTGAAAACAAATAACTTGGATGTGTAAAAACAAAAATACTCTCAGTGCTCAGATACATTAAGTGTGTGTGTGTGTGTGTGTATAGAATCTCACCCTATATGCTACACTCTTCTGCATCACCTCTTCCTTCCCTTAATTCAGTCTACATAATTAAAAAGCCACTTGTTTCTTAGGTACTTGGCATTGTTGACACAAGTGCAATTTAGGGACTGTAAAGTGGACTCCTCCTCCAGTTTCAGACCATAATGTGAATTTTCTTCTGGAGCACCTCTTTCTATTAATCTATTCACTCTTTGCTCTAGATGATAGTTACAATATACAGTTAAATGGACTCATGGTACTAAGTATGCTTGCCAAAGACTGTAATGTTTTTGCTTCAAAAAAAAAGAAAAAAGGATGCCTGTATGATGTTGCTGCTATAGTTATTGTTACCTATAAATGCTGTCTTTGTATCTTGGATATATCTAAGCAGGGGTCCTTTCGTAGAAAAAGAGCTAGGGGAACTCATTAGCATAACTCATTAGCATAACTCATTAGCATATGACACCCCCTGACATCACCGGAAGTGTGTCATAAGGCCACACCCCCTGACATCACCGGACGTGTGTCATAAGGCCACACACCCCGCCCCCAACGGTCCCGGCCGCCACCGCCGGCCTTGCAGCTCCACTGCCAAGCCCCATGAGGGGCCCAGCGGTGGATCTGCAAGGCCGGCGGGAGTGCAAGGAAGCCCCGCGAAGGCCCTCCCTGGCCCTAGGCAGGCAGGGGTGGGGAGAGGCAGGGAGGAAGCAACTTACCCTCCCTCTTCTCCTGCCTACTCCTGGCTGAATGAGGGCCAGAAGCGGGGCGGCCGGAAGCAGGGGGTGGGGCTTCGTCATGTGCCCTGCCCCCCGTACCTCACCCGGGGGAACTGCGATCCCCCGCGATCCCCCCCGAAATGACCTCTATATCTAAGAGCTGGCCTTCAGACATGGTGAATCTTTTCTCCCTTTGATAATTGAAATTTTATTCACGTGTAAGCAGTTTAACAGATCATTGCCTCAAAAAATTCACTCAGACTAAAACTGTATGCCAGCACACCTCCAACACATTCTGTTGGCAATTTTATATAAAAACATAAGAGAACACGATGTTGGATCAGGCCAATGGCCCATCCAGTCCAACACTGTCAAACAGTGGCCAAAAATACCAGGTGCCATCAGGAGGTCCATCAGTGGGGCCAGGACAGTAGAAGCTCTCCCCCTGTTGCCCCCCCCCCCAAGCACCAGGCATTAACAGAGCATCACTTGCCCCAGAGTTCCTATCTATTTTGGCATGGAGTGTTTGGCTATGTGGAGCAAATAATGTATGTTCATTAAAAGGTCTGTTTCTTACAATGATTTGGAGATCTGAGGCAGCTAGCTTTTAGATTAGGTCTTCTAACTCTAACCAGTTTTCAGGTAATTGAGCTCTGGCTAGACTGGATCTACTAGATTTGTCCAAGCTTTCAGCACAGCTTCTATCCTAGGAATCATTATGCTCAAGTGCAGAGTAATGAACGGGTTCCTTAGTTTTAAAAAGAATGGCAATATGCCAGAGCTCAAAGGAAAAGCAGAGCTCTAGCCGAGGAACCCTGAGGCTGCCACCAACGCTAAGAGAAAGGTAGGAGAAAGTCATGAGAAAGACTTGCAAAACCTGTTGAAACTGCTGGTTTAAAGAAGGATAAAGAAACACTGGGCTGTATCCAGCAAAGTGCCAACAGAACAAAAAGGGGGGAAATGCCAGGTGATAATTGATTTATGATACAAAGTCCCTGCGTGTTTCGCTGTGCAGACTTTGTCAGGGGGAATCAGAACATTCACCTAGTGCTGGAACTGTCCACAGCAATTTAATTGAATGTTCCGATTCTCCCTGACGAAGCCTGCGTGGCGAAACACTTAAGGACTCTGTATCATAATCAGTTGCCTATCACCTGGCACCTTTTCCTTTCAAGAAGGACCAGATTCGTGGATGTGCTAAAAACAGGACTGTGCATCCATAATCTTGAAAATCTTTGTAATTTTATTGGGTAAATTAACTTTTGAAGTTGGGCTCTTTTCATGACGCACTTAAGCCAGTTGGCCCACATTATACTTTATCAGCTGAACATGTCCAAATGTGGATTTTTACCTCTCAGGGCTTGTTCTGATTTCATGCTTGACTATCAAGGGCAACAGGTTCCTTTGATGTGATGCTATTGACTAGCCCCAGTCCTTTAACACTAGTGTGGCAGCTGTTGAAAACTAAGGAGGAGGGAGATGGTGTCTTCCTGCAACAGGGGATGAAGAAGAAGAAGACGAGATTGGATTTATACCCCGCCCTTCACTTGGAGTCTCAGAGCGGCTTACAAACTCCTTTCCCTTCCCCTCCCCACAACAGACACCCTGTGAGGTGGGTGGGGCTGAGAGAACTCCGACACAAACTGCTCTTTTTCAAGGACAGCTGTGCCAGAGCTTGTGACTGACCCAAGGTCACATCAGCAGGTGCAAGTGGAGGAGTGGGGAATCAAACCCGGTTCTCCCAGATTAGACTCCACACACTTAACCACTACACTAAACTGGCTCTCACTACACTACACTAAACTGGGATCTTTCTGCTGCTGGGGAAAACCCTATTCCCCCTTTACACAAGGAAAGCAAAAATGGCGAGGAGAAAGCACAGAAATTGGCCTTCAAAGGTTTTTAAAAGTGGGGGGGGGGGAGATGGTCAGGATCCTGCAACTGCATTCCTCTGGCAAAGGAACTTCCTCTGGCATAAAGCTCCACCCTCAGTGGAATGGAGTGGTGGGATCCAAGCCAGTATGTGGGAAGGGGGCATTGACTCCTTGTTCTTTTTTTCCTGTTCAAAGGGCAGGAGAGCTGAGAAATGCTGAATCCTGCACTAGAAGTACTAAAGAATAGAACAAGCTGTATCTTCTTTAAAATAACCCAAATTATGTTGACTGGACAGCTAGGGTGGACTTTGCCATCGCAATCCCTATCCATTTGGAACTCTGGCTCAATCAGAATGACAGCACCAGAGTGCCCGTGGAGGATCAGGGCAATGTGAATTTCACACGTGACCACAGTGCCCTCTAATACATTTCAGAGACCAGCTCAGAGGATTTCTGCTTCAGCTCACAAACAATGGAGGATGGGGGCACCTCTCTCTGGGGCCCACAGATTGGGTTGATAATATTTAAGCAACTTCCTGTTTGTTAGGTTAGGCAGGCTTCTGACAGTGATTGTTCCACCTCTGTTATACTTGACCTGTAATGCTGGCTGTCATATTTCACTAAAAACACACACAAAAACCAAAGTAGACTGCAAGAGTTTTGTCTCTCCTAAGTACTGGTGTATCGTCTAAGGGTCAGCACAGGGTGACAGTCCAAGGCCAGGTCGATCAATATAGTGTACTGGGGCACGTTGATATAGTGGAAAGGGGTGGGTAGACCTGTTCTCCGGAGGACAGGTCTACCAATAAAGTAGACTAGGGTGGGTAGGCCTGTTATCTGGAGTGGAGGGGGGCAGGTAGACCTCTGGAGGCCTGGTCTACCCCTGTAGAGGACAATTTGTGTAATGAAATTTGACTTGATTCTGTTTTTCCTTATAATTATTTTTAGAATACAGTTTAAATATAGTTTAAAATAATTCATTCTGA